GAGAGAGAGAGAGAGAGGAGGAAGATTATTAGGTTAGGGTAGTGTAATTGTGTTTTGTAACTTATTTGTCCCGTAACTTTTGCCTTTTGGAATGGAGTTGCGTCTTTTTTAAAAAAAAATTAAGTGGGTCGGGTTGGGTTGGATCGGGTTAAATCGGTTTTCTTGGATTAACCCATTACGCGACCCAACCCGACCTGTCTTCTTTGCCCAAAACCCAACCCAACTATAAAATAATAAAAAAAAAATCCACCAAACCGGTCGGTTCGGACGGTTTAGGCGGGTTGGTTTTGGTTTTGTCCATCCCTACTCGTAATAAGTTTAGAATGTTGCAAAATTAACATATATGTGATAGATGTTATGAATAACATTTATCACGCGTGGAATTATATAGATAATCTAAAATTTAATGTATTCTAGTCATTCAAATTCGAGTTATGAATATATTCGGGTCGTGATTAGGATAAATTTAACATATTTTGGAAAAGAAATTATATATAATAATTTTATCGATTGTTAAAAATTGTATAACATAACTAGATTATAAATTAAGAATTGAAGTAGGTAGCAATGAGCATATTCGAAATCCAATACAATCGTCCATAATTTGATACAAAGCACTTTTTACATATTTCTTAACATAATTTATGATAATCACAATCTCTTTTGTTTACATAATTCAAATTTCATATAAAATTAGTGAACTTGAATTGAAATTTATTCTATGTGAGATGATATTTTATCTTATCAAAACTATTATCAGTCAACGATCTCGTGCACTTGCGAGATTTTACCGAACAAGTTTTTGTCGTCGTTGTCGGGAATTAAAGTGTTTAATTTGAGTTTATTAGTTTTATATAGCATTCGAATTTTATTTATTTATTTATTTATTTATTTTTATATATTGTTGTTTTATTAATTTTTGCTATCCACCTGATTTCTCTTATGTTTGGTGTCCTTCTAGGTACTATCAAGCAATACATGCATGATTTCGACAATAGCATGAGAACAAAATAGTTGGAACAATTAATTACAAAGAAACCAAGCGAAGAAGTAGCAATTAATGAAAATAAAATCGACACACATTCTTTCAACTTCATCGATTGTCTAACAATTGAATTTGTGATTAAACTCGAGGAGGATATAGAAGTCTACATGATTGATTTTGAATCGAACGGAATAGACAACTCATATCACATTGAAGGAGGGAAGTTTAAGATTTGGATAATCAACCAAAAATGGAACAAAGTCAAAAGAAGTAAACTCAGCAAGACAACAAAAGTTTTCTTCAGAATTCCATGATGTAGATTGCTAAAGTCAAGCTAACCACTATAAATAAGAGCTTATTGGGTGACAACATATTTTTCTTCCCTTATATTTATTTTGCTTTCTAGAATATAGGATTAGTAGTATCTATTCATTTTAATAGTATATGGTATCTTCGTCCCCATATTTTTCAATAGGATATCTTAGAGTTTATTGTGAATTGTTCCACGTTATGATTGATTTTTTTTATTTTTTATTTTTAATTCTAAAGGAACATGACATATGAACACAATGAACAATGAAAAAGGCATAACAAGTGATCCAATAATTTCATGCCAGTCCGTCCACTTCCTGTGGATCTATACTATGCGATGCTTATCCCCTTTTTTACCCTTAATTTTTATAAATTGTTTGTTATATTTTTATACAATGAGGATAATGTCTGCTATATATTTGGGGTGGAAAATCGAGTTTTTATCTATTTTACTGTTTTGTGTGCTTATTCATGTGCGAAAAAAAATATCAAAAAAATTCAAAAAATATGTATATTTATTTTCAGTTTAATTATCGTTTTTGTATGCTTGTGTATGTTAGATAAATTTACCTACTATATGTATATATTTGGTAATATGTGTTAGATTATAAATTGTGAAAAAGTTGCATGTGGGGTTAATTTATGCTTATTTACGTGAGATTTGATATTTTGCACACAAAATTTATGTTTTGTATCATGAATGATTAATTTAATTCAAAATTTGAATAGATTGAAAAAAAATAAAAAAATTAGTGGACCTCATATGCAAAATCTAAACAACCACTAAATTATACATCCTTTAACTAATTTTAGGATAGTTTCATGCCCGTCCATCCACCTCCTGTAGATCTATACTAGGGGAGTATTAATTAGTTCATTTCTTTGCTCTTAATTTTTATATATTGTTTGTTATATTTTTATACATCGAGGATAATATCTGTTATAAATTTGGGGTGGGAAAAATCAAGTTTTTATTTATCTATTTTACTGTTTGTGTGCTTATTCGCATGCCAAAAAAAAAATACCGAAAAAATTCAAAAATTAAAAAAAATTTATTTTCAATTTAATTATTGCTTTTGTGTGCTTGTGTATGTTAGATAAATTTGCACACTATAATGCATCTATTTGGTACTATATGTTAGATTATAAATTGTGAAAAAGTTGCATGTTAAGTTAATTTATGCTTATTCATGTGAGACTTGATATTTTTTAGCACAAAATTTATGTTTTGTATCACGAAAGATTAATTTGATTCAAAATTTGAATAGATTTGGAAAAAAAATAAAATAGTGGACCTTAGATGTTAAATCTAAAAAACACTAAATTATACATCCTTAAACCAAGAGGGTGGTTGAGCTGCTTTAGGGAGACATAAAGATGAATATGCATTCCATGTGTGTTAGATTTTGTGTGGATTGTTTAAGTCTTACAAAATGAAAATTTGGTGAAAATCTAAAGTGGGAGTCGGTTCTTGAAAATGAATGTTTGATAAGGGATATTCCACTAGTCATTGCATTAAAAAAAAAATTGTCTCATTGTAAAATGTTTTTTTGTAATCTTTATAACTCGAGTAATTAAACATGCAGGGGTATCTAAAACCTGGTTTCCTATAGTCATCTGACTTGGGAATCATCGGCCTAAAATTCACTACGATGGTCATTTAAAAAGTTGAATAAAGAGAAGTCCGGACATAAGATGAAAAAAAGAGTTTTTATGCAATTATACATTAACTAAGCCCTGAATACTTATTTGAGAGAATTGAACATTTGACAAGGGATTATTAATTTAGTTGATTCTTGGAGGTTGAAGCAATAAAAAAAAATATATATTTATCGATGTGTTGAGCTAAAATTAGTAAAATCTAACCAAATTAGAGAGAGTTATGATTAGTATATGAATTCAACTTTAGATGACACCTTGGAAAAAGAGTGAAAAGAATAAAGGTTGGGGCTATGAATCTTACGAGTGAAGAAAGAAGATATTTGACCATTAAAGGTTGTGACTTGAATCACTTTATGAATTAATGGTGCTTGATATATATGAACTTTTAAACACACGTTGGTTTTGCATTGGACAAGTAGAAATTAACAATGTGATTATGAAGCATTTTATAGTTTTGATACATAAATTCTAATCATATGATCAAATGCAGATTATTTAACCATGTTTGTTTAAAAAAATTATTTAAGTCAAAGTCTAGTTTGTTTGAGGACAAACTAATGTTCAAGTTTGGTGGTATTTAATAAGTATATTTTATACACTTATTTGAATCGTTAAATGAGATCAATTGTAATTAATTTCAATGACTTATGGATTAATTTATTGTTAATTTTGTTAATTAGACAAATCTCGAGGGAAATTGGTTAAATTGGAAGAAATGAATGGAAAAGGGCAGAAAAAGGAAGAAAACCAAAGTTTGGGGACTCAATCACACACCTCTAATAGCTGATTCGGACTTAATATCGATGATTGGAAAATTCTTGAATGTAACTGGAAGTAATTGGAAGCTGAAGTATTAAAACGCACAAAAAAGGGGCTCAAGATGAATAATTATTAAAGCTGGGGATTAAATTACAAAAGCCAAAAAAAAAAAAAAAAGAGGGCGCCAGCCCAATTTTGGATTAATAGAGAGCTGTTTGGTTAAATTGCGCGCACGCGACTCTTATGGCTCCCACGCTATGGAAAAAAGGGACCTCACTTGAAATTCCGAATTGTAGCAGAATTTTAAATTAAATTGAATTCTTCACCGTTTGGGTTGATTTTTAGACGTTCGTGTCAAGATATTGGGGAACTCTCTCTAGCGTCTAGATACACAATAATATCATAAAATTCATCTAGAACAAGAGCCTTATTCACTACTTTTGAGAGAAAAGATCAAATCCTAGTAAGGAATTGAAGTCAATTACATTAAAATCTTGAAGAAGAATTCAATTATGGAATTGAAGATCAAGATTTCTTTCATTATTTCATGATCCGAATGATGATTTTTCATTATTCTTCTTGTAATTTATTCAAAATCATGTTATGCTAGATTCATTTTTGTATTAAATGAAAATGAACCATATTTTTTACTTATTTTAATTCAAGACTAGTAGTTTAGTATTTCTTGCGTCTCTTGATTAATTTTGCATACTCATTACATTATTAAATTGCTTGATCACCAATTAGTTAATTAGTTGTTTATTGTAATTTTGAGAGACTCACAAAAAGTTTAGAATATGACAAAATTAATATAAGCTCAATAGATGTTAGGAATAACATTTATTACATATGCTATCATATAGATAATCTAAAATTTAATGCATTCCAATCATCCAAATCCGGGCTAGGAATATATTCGGGTTGTGGTTATGATATAATTAATTTATTTTGAAAAAGAAAGTTAAATACCTTAATTTTATCGTTTGTAAAAAATGTATGGATATGATTAGATTACAAATCAAAAATTGAAATATAGATAATAACAAGAGGGCTCTAAATCTAATAGAATCATCCATAATTTAATACATTATAACTTTCTTAGAATAATTTAGCATAAATCAAATCAAAAATCTCTTTTGTGTTACATATTTCGAATTCTATAAATAACTAGTAAATTTAAATTGAAATTGATTTTCCGTGAGACGATACTTCTCATCAAATTTATTAGTTGTCAACGACCTCGTTCACTTGCGAAATTTTATTGAAAACCAACTGTGTCTTAGTGAGGAAAATTTAACTAGGAATGGCAACGGGGGGGGGGGGGGGGGGGGCCCTCCCCGCCCCGTTACCTGTTTATTACCCGTTTAAATTTTTTTTTTTTTTTTGTATTTCATAATTTATTTTTATTGCCCATATTCATTAGATTTAGATAAAATTGTGTACACTTAGCATTATTCATGGAAAAAAGGGACCTCACTTGAAATTCCGAATTGTAGCAGAATTTTAAATTAAATTGAATTCTTCACCGTTTGGGTTGATTTTTAGACGTTCGTGTCAAGATATTGGGGAACTCTCTCTAGCCTCTAGATACACAATAATATCATAAAATTCATCTAGAACAAGAGCCTTATTCACTACTTTTGAGAGAAAAGATATTGAAGTCAATTACATCAAAATCTTGAAGAATTCAACCTTCTAATTGAAGATCAAGATTTCTTACATTATTTCATGATCTGAATGATGATTTTTCATTATTCTTATTCTAACTTATTTAAAATCATGTTAGGTTAGATTCGTTTTTGTATTAAATGAAAACAAATCGTATTGTTTACTTATTTTAATTCAAGACTAGTAGTTTAGTATTTCTTGCGTCTCTTGATTAATTTTGCATACTCATTGCATTATTTGATCACCAATTAGATAGTTAGTTGTTTATTGTAATTTTGAGAGACTCACAAAAAGTTTAGAATATGACAAAATTAATATAAGCTCAATAGATGTTAGGAATAACATTTATTACATTTGCAATCATATAAATAATCTAAAATTTAATGCATTCTAATCATCCAAATCCGGGCTAGGAATATATTCGGGTTGTGGTTATGATAGAATTAATTTATTTTGAAAAAGAAAGTTAAATATCTTAATTTTATCGTTTGTAAAAAATGTATGAATATAATTAGATTACAAATCAAGAATTGAAATGTATAACAATAAGAAGATTCTAAATCTAATAGAATCATCCATAATTTAATACATTATAGCTTTCTTAGAATAATTTAGCATAAATCAAATCAAAAATCTCTTTTGTGTTACATATTTCGAATTCTATAAATAACTAGTAAATTTGAATTGAAATTCATTTTCCGTGGAACGATAACTCCTCATCAAATTTATTACTTGTCAATGATCTCATTCACTTGCGAAATTTTATTGAAAACCAGATGTGTATGGTGAGGAAAATTTAACAATTTTTTGTAGTCAAATTAGGCAACTTAGTCGAATTAGTTGGCAGTCAACTTAATATATTTTTATACTCCCAACGAAATGTTAAAATTAGGATTAATAGCAAAAAACCCCCTAAAAACGTTTTCAATTGTGATATGCTCCATACCTATTGAAAATCGCAGAAAACCCCCATATTTGAAATATTTTGTGCGAAAAACCCGCTACCGTCCAATTCCGTTAATTTTACCATTAAAACTCGTAAAAATTACAAAAATTAAAAAGGAATAAATACAGTTGTGATCCTAAATCCTTTTTTTTTTTTTACAATTTACACCAAAATCTTTTATTTGTACCACCCATATTCTCAAATCTTTAAAACTTATCTTCCATGCCCAACCCAACCCAAAATCAACTGTTTCTTGCATTTTCAATCCAAAACCCCCCTTGTCCATCAAAGATTTGAGCAATACCTACCATGAAGAAGAAGAAAATGATGAAGATGAACAGTCACATTCAATAATGGAAGAATTGTTCAAATCTCAACCATATAATAATTACCACCAATCTCAACCATAAATCAAACTTTTAATTGAATAACAACAAAATAATTAAAAACTTCAATTGCAAACACACACTACAGCACATGCACACAAATTATTAAGCAAATCCGTTGACCAAAACAAAGGGACCAAACAAGTGAAATACCAGTGAAAAACTGCGGGAACTTGATAGGTAAAATCACACAACCTCCCGGAGCGCCTGCTTTGCACTTCCAATCCCGCAACATCGTTACACTTAACATTAGACTACTCCCTGATAATAGCAGAATTCAACCCAGACCTCAACTTTTCCTTGTCTGCATCCTCCCCATCGTTCCCATCCTTGGGTTTAGTCTTGGGCCGAGTAGCCACAGCCGCATCCCCATTACATGCCGGCCCTAAGCCATCTTCATCCAACACGGCCCGGATCTCCTCTGCCCGGAGCAAATACTCCATAATCTTCTGAGTGATCGCCTCCTTTATTTTTGGGTTCTTTTCATACTTCAAATGGGTCTTAAAAGGATTAATGGAAGAATTGAAAATGGAAGAAACAGTTGATTTTTGGTTGGGTTGGGCATGGGCGATACGAGGGAGTTTGAGAGAGGAGTAGAAATGGGGGAAGAATTTTATAGGTTTTTATAGGTTTGGTTGGGGTTGGGTTGGATTGGATTGGATTGTGTTGGGGTGGGGCAGGGTGGGGTGGAAGATAAATTTTATAGGTTTGGAAATATGAATGGTACAAATAAAATATTTTGGTGTAATTTGTTAAAGAAAAAAAAAATTAAGATCACAACTGTAATTATTCTTTTTTAATTTTTGCAAATTTTAAAATTAACGGAATTGGACGGTGGTGGGGTGAGGGTTCACAATTGAAAACGTTTTTAGAGGTTTTTTTTTTTTAGCTATTAATCCTTAAAATTAATTAACATTACTTGAGGCGCACTACATGCTTATGCTTTGTTTGATGTGATTAAAAATAAGATTTTTAAGTAAATTTTAATAAACAATTATAAAATATGTGGTTAAAAAGTTTGTAAGATCCATAAAATAAGTGGTTAAAATTAATTATGAACTTTGACTTAAATTAAAATCTTGATTTTAAACTCTACCAAATATGGATTATATTTATTAGAGAAATATTGTGCTCTGCATTTGGACTCATTCATTTGTACGCATATATTCTACATTATTTATTGAGCGCTTTGGTGCAGTTTCATGGATCAATGGGTATCTGGAAGTTTTGGTTTCATCGTACATTTTATTGATTCACAGCTTTTATCACTTTTTAACCATTGATTGTTTAAAAAAATTATTTTCACTTGAAAAAATATGTGCTAAATGAACACTAAAGCAGAAGCATATGTTCAACCGTTCTAATGAAATTTACTTTTCCATGAAAGATTGAACATGTAGAGTTTAACAAATGATTGACGGCAAGACTAGCACTCATTAAATATGTACATGATTATACTATGATATAATGTTGAACTACTTTCCACAAAATTATATAAATAAATAAAATTGTTCCTATATGGGAAGTATTTTTGTCACTCAGCAGCTTCCACCTTTGGGTGAAAAAATTGCTGATTTTCGTATGCTTCTCCACTACAACTCAGATGCTTCTCATTGAATTTTCAAGTTTGTTGTATATGTATGTACATATGTTGTCCTTAACTCACAAAATACAAGCTTTTCAGAAATTCCCTTGATGAATGAGTATTTCCCAATCAAGATATCAATTATCATTCTTGAAACCTGTATTAGTTTCAAACTACAATACATTTTGGCAAGCAAAGATGAAGAATTTGATGAAGAGAATCGAAAATGAATGGAAATAGAAATAAGTATGAAATTAGGACATGTTTGACATGTATATATCACTTGGCAATACAATCAACAAGAATGTAGTTTATTTTCTTCATTAATATTGTCCAATACTATCTTACCAAAAATGCTACCATAGTCATGAATGAACAAACCACAGACTCTCAAAATGATAATAACATGGACATCAACATCATTCATTCTTTCTGTTAGAAAAATACGTGTCGTGGGTCGCCCATGTAGGATGACTCGACCCACAAGTTATTAAAAGGGTTGGAGGAAGTTTGAATTTGAAATTCAAACATACAACTCCCTACAACAATCATTAACTCCTACAATACCTCAATTCATTATGGGTTGGAAAATAGAGGGAAGAAGAAGACACGAAACATGGAGTGAAAATTATGGAATTTTATACCTAAATTTGAAAGTCCTTAAAACCATATTTTTTGCATGAAATCTTACAAAATTTGACACTTAAATTGTGGATAATAATTCCCTTCCATTGTGATTGAGATTGAGACCATTGGAGAGCAAGAAAATTTAGATTTTGAAGTTTTGGAATGCAAGGTGATTCAACCATGAAAAGATTTTGGAATTCATCATTTCAAATAAGTTTCTGACCCGGAATTCATGTTAAAGAATGCTACGAATTCTAAATGAACAGGAAACTTGCAACATAAGGTTGTTCTGTGCCACAATATATGTTTGAATGATACGAAAAACAAATGTTACAAAACTATTTTAATTTTTGAAACATCTTGCAGCACATCTAAACAATCGTCAGCTTATTAAATAAACCACCTGTCAAGTACATGTTCACTTACATCATATGGCATTAAAAGAGTAAAAAAAGTTAAGAATCTGTCTTAATCTTGTGACATTGCAGCACTCAAGGAGACGGGGTGAGTCTCATGACCTCAGTGATGGAATGCAATGGAATGCTGAACTTTGCTCTAAATTTTGAAAGTAGCCATTAATATGGAAAAGGGCCAAAATTTTGGTTTGGTAGATAAGCTTGGAACATAAGGGACCTAGCAAGTTGGAATGATGAACTTTGGCCCTTTTCCATATTAATGGCTACTTTTCCATTAAATCACGACAATGGAATGCTGAACTTTGCTCTAAACTTCACAGTTTTGGTTTTCACCAATCTGAGCATGATCACTGCCTTTTTACCAGACATCAGTCCACGAGAATCCTCATTCTTCTGGTTTACGTTGATGATGTCCTTGTTACAGGTTCGCATGAAGATGATATCATTGCTGTTAAGCAATACTTGCATCAGGCATTTACTATCAAAGATATGGGGTATGCTAAGTACTTCCAGGGGCTCGAAATTGCTCGAAATAGTGATGGAATGTATGTTAATCAGAGAAAATACATTCTTGATTTGATTCAAGATGCAGGTCTAATAGGGGCTAAGCCAACTACAGTGCCAATCCCAAAAGGGACCAAACTGATTCGACCAAGCAGGTTCTTTACTTCAGGAACCAGAGAAATATAGAAGGTTAATTGGGCGTCTCCTTTACTTAAATTTGACACGGCCTGATATCACATATGGTGTACAGCAGCTTAGCCAATTTGTGCATGCTCCATGTGACTCCCATTGGGAAATTGCTTTGCATCTCCTGAGATACTTGAAAGGATGCCCTTCGAAGGGGCTTTTCTTCCCTGCACAATGTTCCCTCCATTTGCAGGCTTACGCAGATGCGGATTGGGCTTCTTGTCCAGACTCCAGAAAATCACTAACCAGGTATTGTGTTTTCTTTGGTTCAGCTCTTATCTCTTGGAAGACCAAGAAGCAAACTACAGTTTCGCGTTCTTCGGCGGAGGTGGAATACCGTAGTATGGGAAGTACAGTTTGTGAGTTGCAGTGGATTACTTAAATCTTGAAGGATCTTCACATTCCCTTCACACTCCCCATTTCTCTATGGTGTGATAACAAGGCATCTTTGCATATCACCGCAAATCCGGTATTTCACGAACGCACGAAGCATTTGGAGATTGACTGTCACCTGGTTCGAAATTTATATAAGTCTGGTTTTATCCTTCCACAATATGTCCCTTCCCATGATCAGCTTGCAGACGTTTTTACGGAGTCATTTTCTGCTCCCCATTTTCATCGTCTTCTGTCCAAGTTGGGGTTGGGTGATTTACACCAACCTCCACCTTGAGGGGAGGATGAAGGAATATCAGGCAGGCTTCAGTTCAGCATGCTGGCCTTACTGGAGCCGGGTTGTAGCAGTTCCTTTTACTGAAGCCCAGTCCATTATTACAGCCCAGTTTTAGAACCCAGCTTTAGAGAATAAAGGAGATAAAAACGTGATTACACTTGCACGCTTTTATCTCACATTTACTTTACCTTTTCTGTAATATTTTTGTTATGGCTTGTTTGTTTCTTTTCAATTGGTTGTAACAGCTTCTTCTCCATCTATATATATGATGGAGATCACACCCGTATTGGTAGATTTTGATAGAACAATTAATTCATTTTTACTTTTGTTCACTTTTGTTTCATGACCCCTTGGGCTCAACATGCATACCACTTATGTTCGCTCAGATTGTGACAAACTTGACACAACCTTCCTTTAAAGCATAGTGTGTGTGATTTTTCCCAGTTCCAACGTAATTACCTGGCTGAAAACTGGTTCCCCTTAGACAAACAATAATACATAACGTTAGTCTCCCCCGAGTTATTCAAATCTTAAATGAAATGGAACGATGTAGGATTCAATATATAATCTTTAGTTTCAATTTATGGACTAACAAGAAAAGCACAACCTGTATTCCGGCATGGAGAGATCAAATTCTTGGGGGAATCATCAAATTTATAATGATTTAATAAAGGCTCACGCTTTTTCAATGATCTTTTACATACATCGAATCCGAGTGAATAATTGACTTTCTACTACCTTACCTAATAGACCGAATGCTTTCATCTTTCAATGGTGAACTTCCACTTATTTTTCAATAACAAATGCAGAAAGTCTTTTGAAAAACGTTTTTCAACAAGCAGAACCTGTAGCAACAAGTTTTATAAAACAGAAACATGATAGCATATCAATAAGGCTATAATGACGCTCTCTACGGGACATCATTCGCACTTGAAACAACAGTCAGCAATCAGTTATTGCAGGAATTCCCAGAAAGGTGAAGGTATACGTGCAACTCAGTCTAGATACGAGTTCAGAAGTAAGCTCTTGTGTCATGGGTCTTAGTGGCTCATCAGAGCTACCATGGATGTTCACAACATCGCTTATGTTCATTGACGAAGGACGCTCAAAACTGTCTAGATTCGAGTTCAGAAGTAAACGTTGCTCATCAAAAAATCTATTATCTTTTTTTTTTTTAATTGTTTTAATTATGCTTGTACTTCTAGTTTATAAGGACGAAAGTTACTACGAAGATGATTCCAAAGATAGACTTTCAAGTGATGGCTGAAAAATTTACCAGATAATTTGTTCCGGACAAAATTATTCTAAAACAGATTTAGCAACATGGGCACATACATCTTTTTGTCTGTTTTATTTATTTATTTATTTTGTTTATTACAGTTAACGTTATTTGTATCCACATGAACATTGTTGTGAAACATCACAAATTTTATATAACTGGAATCAAAATTATATATACAGAAATGATCTAATGAGCACCGGTGCTCATCTTATCCTAAGCACCGATGAGTTGGCACATTAATTCATTGGTGGATAAAGATTTTGTGAGTTCCAATCCACCAATGAATTAATGTGCCAACTCATTGGTGTTTAGGATAAGATGAGCACCGGTGCTCATTAGATCATTTCTGTATATATA